CGCGCTGGCTTGGCACTGGCCAACGCATGGGAGCAATGAGTTTCGCACGTGGTGTCGGAAAACGCTCAGTACACAGACCACCTAGCGGCGCTCTCACAGCCAACAGGATGGGTTAAACAACATCACGTCCATCGACCACGCCCTCCAGGCCGTCACTTCAGCTGACCATGATCCGCCACCCTGGCCTCACCGTGGCATGAACGGCGAAGATGTGTGGCGATGATCCACAATTAGCGGCGCCCCCAGGTCGCCGCAGCGGTATCAACTTCCCATGTGTTGAATGTCCGGTCCTTTGTCAACGGACTCGGGCGAAGTTATGAGCCCCGTCCTGGCGCTCGGGAGAGCCTCCGTGGCGGCCATGTTCGCTGGCCGCGGCACGCGGCACGCATGGGCATGCTGTCGCGGGTGTCTCAAGCGCTGACCCCCCAAGGTAATTACGAAGTCCGCATTTGACGCGGCGGTAATTAACACTGGCGACCATGTCTGGTAAGCCACGGTCGCAGGTGTACGTACTTGCTGGAAGATTTGAAACATTCTCTGTCGCTTGCCGCTGTCACCCTCGTCGTCCCCTTGTAGTCGTTGCTCAATTAAGTCAGTTGAGAATGTCAACATCCTCTCGCTCTGACACCAAGTCAACGTTGGACCAGTGAAGGCGGTTGCTGTATATATGGACTGCTCCTCTTTGCTTAGTGGCTACTTGTTTTCCTATCAACTCATAGTCGCGGTGGGTTTCTGCCACCACAAGCCGGCCTCGCATTTCGGTTTCCTCGACTCTGAACCGTTGCTCGGACTTCCCTAACTGCTTTGACACCTAGCCGGATTTGGCGGACATGCCCGATCTCAAACTCTCCCTGCCGTCTTGCAAGTCGAATCTGCTTGGACACTTGCCAAAAGAAGCGGTGAATCTTTTTTGTGTTCTTTGCAATCCGAAAAACGGGCGCAACAGCAGCAGTTGGCGTCTTCTGGGTTTTCGTCTCTCGGCCAGGGGCTTCCTCGTTGCTTTCCGCTGTATTTTCCATCACCGCGTCGCCTCTCGTCTTCTCCACCTCCCCACTTTCCCAATCAGGCATGGTGGTGTTTGGCTGTTGTTTTGTTGAGGAATTCCTAATGCCAAAATATTACGACAGTAAGCCCGTGCAACAAAGAAACATCGCTTCGCATGGCGATTTGTGAGGCCGAGACTCCGTGCAAACAAACAAGCAGGGCGCATGCCGACTTCCAACCGTTTTCTTTCAGTCCTCTCTTTGCCAAGCCGACCATCGCTGGTCCTTTTTTCTGAACGTGCTTGCCCATTCTCCGCTCGTATTTAATTGAGTGCCTGCCCCTGCATTTCGGCATCCAGTCATCCGCAAGGTGTGGCCGTGAGCCTGAAACTTGTGGGTAATAAGGTTTACGCCGTTACCATACTGTCGGGTCGAAGCAGGGGCGTGCGTAAGTTCCCTTCCTGCCTCTAATGCGGACAGAGAAAACTCGGCGGCAAGCGAGGTGGGTCCCCTTAGGTACTTGGGGTCTCAAGGGGTCTCGGAGGGTCTGAAAGGGTCTGAAAGGGTCTAACGTACATGGCAGTCAGAACAAAGCCGGGAACCAGCCGGGTCTTTCAAGTCCAGATGGAAGAAGATTCGCTTGCATAACGGCGGGTGGCTCGAGCCGAGCGCGTCTACTCGGTCGCAAGCGAAGGTCAACGGCTTTTGACCGAGGACACAAGCCTTGCAGGGCTGCTTGCAGTGCTGGAAATCGATAGAACCACTTTTCATTATGACGCAGGACACCATCGAGTCAGTACTTTCTAGGGGGTCGTCTTCTCCCGAAATGGCAGGTGACAGCAAGACACACAGGGTCCTGCATACGTCAAGAGTCGCGGGGTCACCCCCAACAAGCAAGGCTGTTTTGACAGCATGTCAAATGGGCTGGCCTCTGAATATCGGCATCCTTGCCAGAAAGTCCGGAACCCTTTGCACCGATCAACGACAAGGGTACCTACCAAGCCGATCAGTACCAAGCCGATCTATGCTATTTCCGGGACCAAATTCATGTTCCGCGGTATGACAGACCCACAAGAGCTTCGATAGCTCCGGACGAACCTGCTTGTACAGGAGTATCTCCCCTTGCGTTCTGACGCCGGCTGCTTTGAAAAAAATGCAGGTACAAGGGTGATTCAATTGACCTTGTCTAAGAGACCAGTCGCGTCTCGGCTCTTCCCAAACCCCTCGACTGAAAGGTCTGTTGGTTTAACCCACAGCACGACTTACCACCCAGCAGTGACATGAATCTGAGTCACGGTCGCTTGGAGCTTTACACGGTATGTGCAAATTACCTTCGTTGTGTTCCAAGATTCCCTCTTGGACCGACCACACCTGGTCAAGATTATTCACTTTCCGAGAATGAAATCTTTGGATGTCTACACTCTACACTCCTATGCCTTTCTTGTCGTTGCTGAGTAGTTTAACGTTGACCGTTGGAGTAGATGGAGAGAGAGTAAGTCCGGTGAACCTACCGCCTCCTGTTGGCCTATCGGACTACCAGGGGCTTTTCCTCCAAGTCCAAGTCAACCAAGTCAGAGTAGGCCGTAGATCTGCTTGAATGGGAGCGGGGAAAGGCTCCACCTTCTTGCATTGATTGGCTCTTGGCTTAATGAACTTGCTTTGCTCGCTTTTTCAAGTTTTCTTGATCGCTGTTTGGCAGCCGTAAGCGATGAGTCCACTCTCTTGGGCGGTTGTCGGATGGGAACGATGTGTGCACTCCATGCTTGGGGTTTACTCTTCTTGGTTGGGTTTGCTCGTCAGGGATGGCATGACAGTAATATCCACCCTAAATCGAGAGGGCCAACACTGTCAGGGATGGCATGACAGTAATATCCATCCTAAATCGAGAGGACCAACACTGTCAGGGATGGCATGACCGTGCAGGATATCCATACAAAATTACTACGAACGGGGCGAGTAGAACCAATTATATTACAGTTAATCTCAACCATTGTGTCGTAATTTCCATGGGATGTGTATGGCGAAATGGAGTAGATTGGCGATGTTGCGGAGGCAACTGATGGGCCTAAACGCAGTCATGATGCAGATGAGGGTGTAAGCACAAATGTATGTAATCAAGACCCTCAAACGAAGACAATACTCTTAGCGACAACATGCCGACCTGGGTAGCTGGCTATTACTGGCTGCCAGAACTGATGGAATGGGTAATTGACAAGATGACTGAAGTTGTGACAAAACGACAGTGCTTGGGTTTACTACCGTTGAGCCAGCGGGCCAAAAAGCACAATATTCGGTCAGCAGACCGAACCCCAAGCTCCCACACAAGCGAACCGTGAAAAAAGCTGATGGTTTGGGGGCCTGTTAGGCACATTGATCCTGTGGCCAGAGAACATAACGCCGAACGAAACCAGCCCGCGGAGTAAGCCACTTCCCAGCCAATAACGAACGGCATGACTCGCGGTACGTTTGACACTACCCTGGCACACGATCCCGTGACACACAGGAAAATACAGACGCAGACAGAAATGGACTCAGGCAAATATGGACGCAGGTACTGTAACAACGGACGAACCAAAAGTGATGGAGACAATATGGACGAGCCGAAAGTGACGCAGGCAGATATGGATGCAGGCATTTACGGACGAGCCAAAAGTGACGCGGGCATATATGGACGAGCCAAAACTGACCCAGACAATATGGACGAGCCAAAGCTGATGCAGGCATATATGGACCCAGACAATAATGGACGAGCCAAATGTGACGCAGGCATATATGGACGCAGGCAGATATGGATGCAGGCATTTACGGACGAGCCAAAAGTGACGCGGGCATATATGGACGAGCCAAAACTGATGCAGGCATACATGGACCCAGACAATAATGGACGAGCCAAAAGTGATGCAGACAATATGGACGAGCCGAAAGTGACGCAGGCATATACGGACGAGCCAAAAGTGACCCAGACATGTATGGACGAGCCAAATGTGACGCAGGCATATATGGACGCAGGCATATACGGACGAGCCAAAAGTGACGCGGGCATATATGGACGCAGGCAGATATGGATGCAGGCATATACGGACGAGCCAAAAGTGACCTAGACAATATGGACGAGCCGAAAGTGACGCAGGCATATATGGACGCAGGCAGATATGGACCCAGACATGTATGGACGAGCCAAAAGTGTTGCGGACAATAATGGACCCAGACAATGATGGACGAGCCAAAAGTGACGCAGACAATATGGACCCAGACATATATGGACGAGCCAAAAGTGTTGCGGACAATAATGGACGAGCCAAAAGTGACGCAGACATATATGGACGAGCCAAATGTGACGCAGGCAGATATGGACCCAGGCAGATATGGACGCAGACATGTATGGACGAGCCAAAAGTGACGCGGGCATATATGAATGTAGGCAATAACGGACGAGCCAAAAGTGTTGCGGACAATAATGGACGAGCCAAAAGTGACGCAGGCATATATGGACCCAGACAATAATGGACGAGCCAAAACTGACCCCAGACAATAATTGACGAGCCGAAAGTGACGCAGCCATATATGGACCCAGACAATTATGGACCATGTTCTCGGCCCCAGGGGGGCTCGGCCTGGGCCATGGTCTGCAATCGAGACCGGTGTGGGCCTATGTGACCTCGAAGGAGTTATGAATCATATCGTAGAGTGCCACTTTCGGCCGGATCTGCACGCCCACCAGGAGTAAGATCCGGCTTTAGGTCATAATGCCACCTTATGCGAAGCGAGAGAAGACGGGGAAATGGAAGCAGGTCCAGACCGTCACGCGAAAAACATCATCCGCTGGAGATGCTGGAGGTGCTGCAGAAACACACAGGATCAACTTTTGGATGTGATGAAACTGGAAATGACTTTATACTAGATTAGCGCCACATCCGGGAGCAACGCGATGGTGTCGTAGGATAAGGAGTCGGTTTAAAGCTCCAGAGAAGCGCGATAGACACATTCACTGTGAGACGATTTTAGATGAACGAAACCATGGCCGGTGCATCTTCGGAAAAAACGATATACACCTACGACAAGAGAACCAAGAACAAGGTCCGAAAATCCGGTGGCAGCGCCAAAAGGAAAGCTGTTCAGTTAGGCGAAGAGGCCCGTGTGTTTTCGACTGTTGTCTACTTCAACCCAACACATGGATGTCTAGACGGGGCCATACACGTCCCCGAAGGCCAAAGCATTCCGGACGTGAACGGATTTGTAAGCTCCAGCGGAAACCCACCCATCCTCCCTCGGAGGTAGCAAAAGCTGATGCGACTCTGAACTAGTTGGCCGAACTTCTGAACGGCTTGCACAGCACGAGTCGAAGACGCGACCCACAGCGGGCCCGGATGCGACATCAGCCCGCACAGGCCACACAAGGAGGCGGCGGCGTCGAGATCGATGCCGCAGACGTCTCCCACTACATCGCTGCCGACAGGAACAGCGCTGCTTCGGCCGGCTATCCGAAAGCCGGTCATGGCCGTACTATCACAGCAACAAGAGACAGCGACAATGAGACGCAGCGTAACAGGGGTATGGGAAACGATTGGGCCTTCCGGGGTGCGAGCCAGGCTATTGAAAACCACGAACTGCCCGATGGCACTGTCGCTGATGGTGTGAATGGACATGATACATACGTCCATTCGCATGTTTGACGTCGGTAGGCAGGACGTCTTCGAGATGGAGGAGGCTGGAAACGAAGTGCAGACCGGACGATCCAAGAACGTCTCTGATTGGCGAGTGGTTGATGTAAAAAATGCCAAAATCCGTAAAGCGCAACGGTTTTTGAGACAAGTGTCTCTGCGTATGCGGCTTGCAGCCCGACAGGAACGGCTACCGCTACACCGGATCGCTCATCAAGCCAGGGGGGGAAGTACATCGTAGCTTATTTGAAGGCGCCGAGACCTGATGCATAGTTTGTTGGGCGAATCGTCTAGTTTTGTAGTTGAACGGACTTTGTCGTGATGCAGTGGGATGATGACCAGCTCGGCCCCCTACCCATGTAGACAACTTTTTCTTTTTCCTTTTCCATGAGAGATCGTCCCAGTGCGTGCCGTGAGGCGGCAGACCGCGTTGACGAGTCCTTCTCAAGAAAATCCATTGCACGACACATCGCCCTTAGAATGTAGCATCATCACTATAATCGTTGTTGTTTCTATCAACTTTGCTGTATCATTCTTAGAGGTCGAAGACAAGACTGGTGCAGGGGCGGCAGCTGCCTGCCTGTTCCTAGGCCGATGTGCGTTGGCCGATGTGCGTTGGCGGCCGTGCACCTCCGTGGCGTCTTCGGCATCGTCAGTTGTGGTGAGCTCGGACAGCTTGCGACAGTGCATGCAACGAAGCTTGATAATCGTAGGCATAGACATGACGGAGACTGGTGAATGCATGCATGCGGGGTGGGTGTTGGGTTATTTGGCTGGGGTATGTACAATTTGGAACAAATGTAGCTTCCTCTTCTGTACAGACCGTCTGTCAAGCTTTTTACAGCCAGAAACAGCCATAATCTGCTGCTCGGATCTCCAATAGTGGCTGCGACCACCCACGATCCTGAAGTGGAGCATGATGACAGTACGAACAGGCCGGCCGGCCAGGAGGATTGCTGTTCTTGACAACGTCGATTAGAGGCTCCGACCACCAGCTTCAACCCCGGATACAGCACAGCACCAGTCGGCATGCACAGCAATTTTCTGAACTCAGGACACTGTGTGGGGCTTGATCAGAGACTCTGCGAGTCTTTCCGAAGAGGAAGCTGTGCACATTTGCTCCAAACTTCAGCTTTTTATGTATCAAAGACCGGTCCAACATGCAGAGTGTGCTTCCACAAGATGTATCACATTGGGTGATGGCCAGAGCCACGTTCTGCTCTGAGGACGGAGCGTCCGCAAAGGGTGGAAGAGCATACGTACACAGACGGCCCGAACGTGACTGTTCGATTGCTATGGAAGCCCTTCTGGATCTTGTCTTGAAAAAAAACAAGCTGCGAACCAGATATGGGCCTCATGGGTAGGATACGCGGTGGAGTAAGCAAGGTGCTCGCTGCGTGGCTGAGAGTAGCCCCTGCTGAAAGTCAGAATCGGCTCTAAGCATAACGCCAGTCATCTAGAACGTGGTCGGGCGTTGCAAGTGACCAATCAGTAGGGCGTGCCGCCCGGAGCAAGTATGGTTTCCTTCATAGACGTTTCTCAATGTCCAAAGTTAGAAACAGCTGCGGTGTGGTTTCCCAGACTCTCAGTGGTGGCATTCCTTGGTTTCTGGGCGATCCACAAAGCCAGAACGCTCGAAGACAGTGCAGGCGAGCAAAAGGCAGTTGTGGCTCTACCTCATAGCATCCGTTTGTGGCGCTAGGAGCCGTCTTGCTTGACACTAAGCCCCCACGAATCGGCACACGCTGTTGATCTTCACTGACAACATACAGTACTGTATGCGGAGCATGTTGAGAAATGCCGCGAGTGATCTGAAGAGAAGACAGGACGCAGTGCAATGTCCAAGCCGAATAACTCCATCGAACAGTTGGCATGGCGTTTTCGGCTACAGAATGTTTTTCGTGAAGTGTGTGAGCGACCACCGCCATTGCCAGACATTTAAGGCCTGCGTATTGGCCGGGTTGGGCCAAGCCCAACCACAACTATTGGGTTGAGGGAGCTAACTTGTTTGATCTATTTATTCTCCTCGTACAGTAAGAGAGCTCCTGCAACTTAAAGCGAGACCCGGCAGAGACCCACCCCAAGGCGTCGCAGCCACGCCTCTCCTGGCATGACACCCATCTCAGACCTGTCATTTCCCATGTCCCTGTGCAAGATCATCATCCAGCGATGGAAACCCACCGGAAAACTTTGTTCAACGCCTCTACTTTATGTCGTCGACTCCAAAGCCCCCCAACCAATTGAAGCACGCTCACATACCATACATTGAACAAGAATCATCTGCAAAACAGCTTGGCTGGTTTTATGGGACTAAAATCGAATCTTGTATTGTAACTTTGGCCTTTCAGCGAGAGAAGGACCAGAAAAGCCCGCTACTCGAATTGATATGTTACAGCCCACTAGTTATCCGGGGCACGACTATCTGGGCCAGACTACTATTTGCCTGCCGCCGTCTCCGACCGTGAGTTCAGCCTCACAGCCGGTTTTGGGTAGGCCGACCATGTTTGGCCAGCGTAGCTTCTGTTTGTCCCATAACGAACCAGTGTCGTTATCGATCTATCTAGAGTTGTTTCCTGAATCTGGGAGGCGCCGGGGTGCCCTATCTCTGCCCTGGAGAGCAGTATCGGTGGTTTTTGCCTAGTTCGCTCGAAAATGGGCAGCTTCGCTGTTGTAGTTCGTGTTCTGTCTCTCGATTCGTTGTCGCGCCGGTTTTGCTGGTGTTTTGGGAGATGGTAGCGCGTATGTAGAAATTTTGTCCAACCCCTCCAAAAATCCCTCACTCCAAGTCCGATCCTACACTTCCACACCTGCAAAACGTTGTGCGTAGCGCTCACCAGCACTCGCACTCACACATTGTCACGTCTCTGCACTGGCTCTACCTTGGTCAAAGATAGGTTCCCAGGCGGCACCACGTGGAGGTTGCAGAGTCCGAATTTCGCCGCCCCCATCACATGGTGGCATCGCTGGAGAGCATCAGCGGGAAAGCAAAGAACAACATCGCTAGTGGCATCGTTGGAAAAACGTCAACGGCATCTCAGTAGACGGGAGTCATCGCTAGTGGCATCGTTGGAAAAGCGTCAACGGCATCTCAGTAGACGGGAGTCATCGCTAGTGGCATCGTTGGAAAAGCGTCAACGGCATCTCAGTAGACGGGAGTCATCGCTAGTGGCATCGTTGGAAAAGCGTCAACGGCATCTCAGTAGACGGGAGTCATCGCTAGTGGCATCGTTGGAAAAACGTCAACGGCATCTCAGTAGACGGGGGTCATCGCTAGTGGCATCGTTGGAAAAGCGTCAACGGCATCTCAGTAGACAGGAGTCATCGCTAGTGGCATCGTTGGAAAAGCGTCAACGGCATCTCGGCAGATGTGGGCTAGAGGCCCAGCCCGTCAGGAAAATCCATCAGTCCAGGCCGGACATGATGTCCCTACTTATATTTTTCTTACGCCCCTCTTTCTCCACCCGCTCGCGAGGCTCCAATGTGAGGAGGCTGGTCGGCCCCTGTAAAACTGACGTCACCAAACAACTGTCAGTCTTTGCGTTACTGTAGCAAAACACTCTTGCATCTTGGTCAAAAAGCAGATCGGGCGCTGCGGTGGGGCGAAACGTAAAAACATCAGATGTAGGGTTACGGAATGAGCAAACGGCCACATTTGGCTCCGGTTGAACTAGGTCTAGACCGGGCGACGAGTTTGTGGGATGACTGGGGTGCCGGGGCTAGACTGGAGACGAAATTGGCTCCTGTGGCCAGATCTGGCGCTAGCATCAGGCACTTGCTTCCTGCCGTTTAAAGTGGACGGACCACAAAAGGGCGGATTCCATAGTCGCAGTCGAGATCAGTTTCCAGTTCTTGGTGGGGAAACCCATTTCAAGCGCGCCTTTTGCGGCTGCTCTCGCTCGCATGGAATGTGAAGTTTAACTTGCACTCTTGGATGCAGTTTATTTTTTGGCTGCTCCCTCTAACATGGTACGGAAGGGTCAGCACGCGTTAGAGGCGCAACGGAAACCGGTTTCTGGTTCTTGACCTTTGAGAAATCATTTATCGCAGCCATCCATAAACAGCCGCGATGAATTAAACCCCCAAAGCCAACGACCGGAAGTCGACTTCGTCCACAGCTCTAGAAGCTCTAGTCGCGACCGAAATCAAATTCTGGTTCCTGGTCCAGAAACTCCATCAATTCGGCCATTTGCGGCTGCTCTTGCGGACATGACACGCCAAGGTCAACGTGCAGTGGTCACTGGAAGCTGACGCTGTTTCTCTGTGAAAGCCAGAAACATCGTCCTCATCGCCCTAGTTGCTTAGGTGGATTGTGCTCAAAGCAATCTATTGCTTTCCCAAGATGGTGCTGTCAACAATGTCATCGCATAAGCTGAAAAGACCCTGGAAGGCATAGTCCTTTTGTGACGTGCCTCATTTTTGCTTGAGCAATAACACTGCTAGCCTGTTTTCACCCTCCAGTAGATAAAGATTGTAAATGAAGGATTCCATTCTCACGGCACCAGCATGACATCATTTTCGTTTTCGGGGTCTAGATCTCACAAACTTTACTTAATCGCTCCTCTGGTGCTTGAGTCCGCCGCCAGCTCCGTCCGACACTCGAATCCTTCGGTATCATCTCGATAACTCCGCCATGGACTTTGACACGTCTCTCTTCCACAGTGGAGCCTGGGATGCCACACGAGACGGCCGCCACGAACCGTCTGCCACGAACATTCCGCTGCACTACGAACGAGCCAGATTGGCTCTAATCCGCACTACCTACCTGTACTGACGCCCACTCGCAGTCGTTGGGATAGAGCTGAACTAAAGCGCACTTTGGCGCCTTTCTGTCGCAAATGTTTCTTTGTGTATGCGACCACAGGACCTGGACGAGAGCCTTCAATGATCTTCTACCGTCACAAGCACATTCCTGTGTAGCGTGAAAAATGTTTCACAGGTCTGAATTGACGCCGGTAATCCTATGAATAAAGGCAATAATGGAACCATGTAGCTATGATCTAGACATAGTTACG